GACTCCCAAATTCTCCCTGGGGGTGGCAGCCGGACTCCAAAATGAACCCCAACAATCCCCACCTGCTAATCGCCACTTGCTGCCTCGTCCTCTCCCGCAGTGCACGCAGGTTGGTCTGTGTGACCCGTAGCATATAGAAGAGGCGATGGGGTATTACCTCTTAGAGCAGCGGTTCTCAACCTGTGGGTCGCGACCCCTTTGGCGGTCGAACGACCCTTTCACAGGGGTCGCCTAAGACCATCCTGCATATCAGATATTTACATGACGATTCATCACAGTAGCAACATGACAGCGATGAAGTAGCAATGGAAATAATTATATGGTTGGGTCACAGCATGAGGAACTGTATTGAAAGGGCCAGAAGGTGGAGAACCACTGTCTTAGGACTTGCAAGTTTGGGATATTTATTAACAGTGTTCCATGTGAAATACAAAGTCTTTGGAAGATTCCACCAATACTCTAAGTCAATTTTGAATATTACTTTAAAATACCTCCCCCAAAATAGAACAGCTGAAAGTTCAACTTTGACGTTGGAGATGGAAGCAGTAAGTCCACACGAGAGGGGTGTGTTGCAGCAAGAATGTCCATGGGCTGACCTCTCTGAAATAAAAATATATATTTTTTAAAAGACTATGGCTGCCTCTCTCTCTCTCTCTCTCTCTCATCACTTGCTATGGGAGAGAATAGCTGCTGTGTCATGACGATGCCCCAACCGCCTACGGGGAGGCCTCCAGCCAGGTGAGTGAACTTGGAAAGAAACCCTTTAGCCCAGTGGCTCTCAACCTTGGCTGCCCATGAGAATCACCTGGGAATCTTTTTAAAATCCTGATTTCTGGGCCTCATCCTCCAGAAATTCTGTTTCTTTGTTACTAATGTTGTGGCCCCACCCCATCACAAAGAAACAGAATTTCCGGAAGACGAGGCCCAGAAATCAGGATTTTAAGAAGATTCCCAGGTGATTCTCATGTGCAGCCCAGGTTGAGAACCACTGCCTTAGACCGTTGAGTCTCCAGGTGTTTGCGGTCCTGGTTACGCTTGCCTGAGCCTCCTGAGGAAGCCGGAGGCAGAACCACCTGGCGAAGCCGCTCTGGATCCAGACCCGCAGGAACCACGGGCGACAGTACATGTTTGTTATGGGAAGCTGTGAGGACCTGGGGGGTGACTTGTTACGCGGTGGTCGATAACTAATACACTGGCAGCCACGTCCCATGAGCAGGTGGAGAAGGGAGAAGGAGACGACACTGGGTGGTGGTTGGCTCCCGGGGTGGTGCCTGTCTCAGTCACACCCACTTCCAGGGTCTGGGGCTGTTGGCAGCCCCAAGGGTCCAGAGCTCCCAGGGCCAGCTGGTCCCGGACCGTGTCCCAGGCACAACCGTCCTATTTAATCCTCCCAAGGAGCCTATGAGTGAGGTGCTGTTAATATCTCCATTTTACAGATGGGGAAACTGAGGCCCAGAGAGGGAGTCACTTTGCCCAAATCCACACAGCTACACAACAGAGGAGGTAGGACCTTCTCAGATAGATGATTTGCAAATATATTATTTTCTTCTTTAAGAAGTCCCTGGGCCGAAACCGGTTTGGCTCAGTGGATAGAGCGTCTGCCTGCGGACTGAAGGGTCCCGGGTTCGATTCCGGTCAGGGGCATGTACCTGGGTTGCGGGCACATCCCCAGTGAGGGGTGTGCAGGAGGCAGCTGATCGATGTTTCTCTCTCATCAATGTTTCTAACTCTCTATCCCTCTCCCTTCCTCTCTGTAAAAAATCAATAAAATATATTTTAAAAAAAAAGAAGTCCCTGGAATAGTTCTGGTCATACTGGTTTGGTGGCGATGAACCCCTTCAGCTTTCTCTTTTCTGAAAGCCTCAATTTAATCGTGTTTTTCTTTTTAAAATATATTTTATTGATTTTACAGAGAGGAAGGGAGAGGGATAGAGAGTTAGAAACATTGATGAGCGAGAAACATCCATCAGCTGCCTCCTGCACACTCCC